TTTTTTTTTTTTTTTTTTTTTTACAACGATGCATTAGACTGCATTCTTAGGTAACGTCGTTCGGACTTGTACAGGTAGAAGCGATCGCTGCATCGAATCGCTGATCCGACATCCACTAATTCTTCAAATAAGACGTTTCGTTTACCATACAACGCGTTAAAGTTTACGATCAAGTAGTTGAGAGAGACGGTTTGATATGCAAATAATTTGAAGTTGCAGGCATCAAACAGCTCCGTATTCCTCGCTAGATGGTGATTCGTCGCTAGGTGGTGGCCTAGGTGGTCTGGGTGGCCTGGGTGGTCTGTGAAGGTGTACACCGGGTGCCGGTCTTCTCGGAGGTGGCGGAGGATGGGTTCCGTAAGTGGTATCGTCGCCTTCTTCGCTGCTGGGCGACGGTGACGGTGCTCTGTCTTCTTGTTCTTGCAGAAGTTGTCGAAATTCTTGAATAGATTCGTTCAAAGACCAAAGTTGCGCCAACAATGAAAGATCCAGCTGTCGAAGGCCAAACTGCAAAAAACAATATTCGTTTTATTTCCGCTTGTATTATTATTAATATGACGTTCACATTCTCGAAAGTGTGCAGGGAATATCCACCGGCACCAGTTAACAAACAAACGAACGTCGCAAAGTGTTTGATTTGAACAAGACGCATTCACTTTTAGCATACGGATTTTGCCAAGGCGAGCGTTACTATTGGAAATTTACCCAACTCGAACGGTGTGTATTTTCAAGAGAGCGGCAACTCTCGTGATACACCGGCCGTGGGAATAAAGGAAGAGAGAATTAGGTAGGAGGCGCAAAATGTTGGCGTAGCAAGAACGAAGATAGAGAAAAAGGGGGGAAGAACAAGAGTAGAGGTAGGAAGGAACGAAGGTGAAAGAGAGCGGCCAGAAAAAGGAGGCGAAGAGGGGAGTCACGCCTGAGGGAATGCAGCGTGGGAGCGGCTGTGCCAGTTCGCTTCGTGTCTGGATTAACTATTAAACTATTAGCCCAACTTTCGAGTAAACTATGTTTTGGACATTGTACAAAATTTGAACTACATGCACAGAGGAACTGCTAACAAAAATAAAAAAAAGACAAAAAAAAAAAGAAGAAATCACAACAACTATTGCACAACACAAAAATATGTGTTAGTCTCTCGAAAGAAAAGCCAATGTTTGGAGTACGTATTTACTCCGTGTGTCACGCGTGAATAGTATGAGCAACAGAACCTCGAGGTAACGGATCTAATTGGATCGACTGGATTCAACGCGCCGTAATGCTTTTCATCTTGGTTATACAGCTCGGCGTTCTGTTAACGCACAATCAGCGACGTTTCGATTAATCCGACCTTCCACCATTTATAGAAACTTTTGCGTCGCCGTGACTCGTAAATCCGTGGAATTTTCCTGCTGACTCGTGTATACGTACACATACATAGTTAACAAGAACACGTATGACTAACAGCAGCGCCCATTCAAACCGGTCTCCTCTAACAATAATACTTATATTCGATCAATGTCTTTTTTTCAGTTCTTCTTCTTGGCAAGCAGTTTCCATCTGCGGTAGTAAAAGCGATATTTGGCACTGAGATGTTTCGGCTGGAAAATAGGAATATATAAAGGACCAGCGAAAGGGAGAAAGACAGGAGGAGAAAAGTATAGAGATCGGGAGAGCATGCTAAAAAGTTTTTCAGTGTTTTCAATCACCATTTCTCTCCTGAGTATAGCCAGCTGCGTGTCCAACGTGGTTAGTTGCCTGGCAGGTGGCGATGGCCTGGACGATGATTGGATCGAAATTTTACCGCCTCTTTGTGTTTTACTGGAAGATCTAGTAGGCGGTGGAGGTGGTTCGCAACCCTCGCTTCGTCCACCGCTCAAATTGAATCCACTGAGACTTCTCGGTAACGGTGGTAGACCTTGCAGGGAAGACATCGCGATTCTCTCTTGTATGCTAAAAAGGATGAAAATTTCCGTTCAACCAACGAAAACAGTACAAAGCCTGCGGAGTATTTATCTATCAGACTGCGGATCTTTTTATGCAAAAATATAGGATCCTTGTAACATAAAAAAAAAAATATGTACATAAAATATATATTTCTTTTAATATTTAATAAGAAAAATAATAGGTGCCATTTTTTTTTTAATTATCTTCATAAAAATATAAGATTGCATACAACCGCAGTTCAATGATTATATTATATTATTAATAATGATTATATTTATATTATTTGCTCCAACAGTTTGTTTAAAAACGATCGTTTGTTGCTAGAAACCGAGCGATTTTACAGTTGTGTCAGCCTTGAGATTCAATTCAAGGCGATTCAATTAACGTTTAACTGTGATAAAGCATTGGTTCGACTCCATGGATATTCATCATTGATATTCATCAACGTTTGAACGCCACTGTTTTGCACGAACGACGACGAAGTAGGTTAGCAGGTAAAAAAAATTAGGAACGAAACGATACTCTGATATTAGACTCCTAGAAAAGAACCTACATCCGACATCTTATTTTTCGTCTTCCTTTTCACCGGTTGTTTCGCCACGCTTCATTAAATCGTTACGGCAAAAAAAAAAAAAAAAAAAGAAAAAGAAAAAAAAATGTATCGTGCGAGACGAGAAAGTAACGATACACTGGATCGTTATATTTGGATGAATCACGTTTCCAACAGATTTTTTTTTTTTTTATATGTATGTGTGTATTATTCTTCTTGACGATAAACTACCTCGGAACGTTAATATCGCTGAACTTCTCGTTTTCACAACGATTGTATCCGTTGACTCGGGTGCCATCGACGATGTCTCCGTCTTCGCCAGACAATCGAATCTGCGTAGACGAATAATGGATACCGGCTTCCAGCCAATTTTGCCGATGAATGTTGTCGTTGTCGTTATCGTTGGTTTCGTTGGTTCGGTCATCGCCGCCGTTCTTCTCTTTGTCAGCGCGATCGTTCGACGCGGCAGCTCTACGATCCGGTTCGTCGATGACAACCACCGTAGCACGATCAACGTTCGAAACGTTCGCACTGGAATCGTCGGCAGACCGAGTTTCTGCGCTTCTCTTCGTCGAACTCGTCGTCGTATCCCGATATTTCACGGGACACGATCTCTGTGTCGGCGTCGGCCTTCTCTCCGGCAAGTTCGCTGACTGCGAAGTGACGGACGACGACGTGTGATGGCAACGTAACACGTCGTCGTCCAGTGACTCGGCCGTCGGAGATTTGCCAACGACGACGTCGCTGCGATCGAGCGATCCAGAAATCGCTGATTCGGATAACAACGAGTTATCCCAGTTAGCTGGTTCGTCGTCGTTACATTGTTTACCGTTGTCATTGGTGATCGATGATGATCTCTCGTCGTCGTTCGTCACCACACCGTTCGAAAATTGTTCGTTGGACGACACGCGTTCAAAGGCACCGGAATCCTCTTCTTTCCGACGCGGTGCGGGAGAGGAGACAACGTCGCCAGTGACGGTGTTCGATTCACTGGAATTTCCCCGATATTCCTGACCGGGGACGGTTGTACTACGACGCCGCCTTTCCCGCGGATTTCCACGGTGGTCGTCCTCGTCCGCGCGCCTTTCACTCGCGACTCGAGGAACGGGTTCGTTGCCGCCACCGCTGCGACTCTTGTCGACGACGAACCGAGTCGGATCGTCACGATCGCCGCTTTCGTTCCCGGTTTCCTTCGGAACCGAATCTTTGATCGACTCGTAAACAACCGTTCGACCAGCAGCTGGATTCACCACCTGCTGCTGCTGCTGTCGATTGTTCGACCGGTCTCGATCGGATCTCCACGGTTTTGTGTTGGGTGGTGGCGGGGCCTGCCTAGTTGGACAGGGTGGCCTTGGTGATCTTTTAAGGGCTTCGGCGACCACCTGCCGACTCGGCCGCGGTGGTACCGGTGGTGGATGAGGTCTTTGTGTCGCTGCCAACTGCATTTTGTCCGCTACTTCCACCACCGTGGCGAGCCCCTCTCTACGCGTGGCCACCGTCGCGTTGTCCCTTCGTCTCACTTCGTCCCAGGAACATGCTT